TAGATATACTGTAGGCTACACTTTAAGAGTAAAAAAGTTTAATTTGTGAGATGCGAAATTGTTAAAAATGTTTTGGTTTATTCAAAAAGATAAGAAGAACAAATATAATTTATATTGTTAGTATAGGAATGATAATTATATAGGATAATGATTAATAATAACTGCAAACTCAGTGGATAACTACTACCACCGTATTGTTTTTTTTTACATCTGCAGTGGAGTTCACCAGTTGTTCCAGTACCATCTCCTTATTTTTCAATGCTGAAGTTTTATTGTATTTTCCTTCAAGCTATAAAGTTGAAAAATTCTACTTTTCATTTGTGATTAAATCCTCCATCACTGACAGCAGCACATAAAGCTTCCAGTACAGACATGAAGTGCGAGCGGTTAAATTGCCCATGTAAACAACAGCCTTTAATGTCCGCCTCAGAAAGCTTAAGACACAGAGGAATGGTCTGACAGTGAAACCCAAGGTTTATGAAGCTGATATGTGACTCAAGTTATTTTTGGTGGTATATTACTTGTGACCAGCCAAGCATTTCTATCTGTGCTGTGGAGGTCTCTCGACCTGGACTCGCTTATACTTCTAAAGGTTTGAAGCTGAGCTGCAGGTCATGGATTTGCAGGTACTTGAGAAATAAATTGCAAGTCACGTATTTTAATATCAGTTTCCTGTGAAACGCATTCTGTATGTGAGCTCTTAGTATTGCTAGTGCATGTTTTCTTGTCCAGTCATTATTTCCCTTTGCTGTCATGGAGTGCAATTTATGTCCACTTGTTTTACACTAACGTCAAAAGAGTAACGCCCCATACACGACAAAGATAGAGTGGAGTCAAACTGTTCAAACTGCCCTGTAAAATTGTCTCTGCAGAAAAGATCAATAATCAAAAGGTAGACTGATAAGAAAACAGTTGTACTGTATTTTGTTTTATTTTCAACAACCATGGGAACTAGAAAGAATCCCCTAGTTGAATTCTATGCCCTTTAATATTATGACAAAATACACCTGGTTATTATTAGATCTTAACAATATTTAAATTAGTGTCAAAATCTACAGAAAATAATAATTAAACCAGATTAAATAATCTGTCAAAAGCTAATTCAAGCATTGTTGGGTTCATAGGATTTAAGAGGGAAAGGACAAGGCACACGCTACTCCTGAAAGCACATGATTAACACATCAGCAGTTGAGTCTACCCTTGAAAAGCAGACCTCTTGGCGGTCTGCTGGTCTGAAGCATACAGATGTGTTTCAACACTCTGCCAAGCAAGAAAGACATCAGCAGTTCCTTTTGCATTGGTTTAAAGAAGCAACTTATATCAAATATTATATCAGAAAAAATTCCATGACAAATAGATCAATTTACACAAAAAAATATGTAATGAAATGATCTATTTTATACGAACATTAAAATATCACTACATGTATTTTACTTTTTGATCACAGTTATATTGCAATCCAGTCAAATTAATTTGTTATGACTATAGAATAGAATAGCTTAATTGACTTTTTGACTTTGCAGCAATCCCTCCTACCCTATATCAATTTACATTCATACATTAAGATGCTGACTTCTTTACTCCAGCCCTTTATGTCGTGGTAACACTCTTAATGTGGGTTCCTGATCACTCAGAAGGGAGGAGAGAAACAGAATCATGCATGTCACTGAATGTCAAAGTCAAAATACAAAATGCTAAATGCTTAATACTTCATTATTTTAACAAATTACTGCTTTAAATACAAAATCCTTCAGATTTTGGCCCAGTCCCCACTTTCTAAATATGTATATGGTCTAAATCGCTGAGCGGTCTCAGCACCATGGCCTCCTATAGAGTCCACGCAGAGGAGCAATGTTTAAAATAACTGCACTGTCCTGTTCACATTTTTCACTGCAGTTATATATTATGTTCATAATATTTGTATTTGTTTTATGTGTTTTGTCCATCTCGGAACAATGGATGTAAGGTAGCAGTTTTGCTACAATCTAACGCATTTTCAATTTGTGTACAATTTGTTTGTAAATGTTAATCAATATGCAGTAGGCTGGTTGAACAAATAAAATGGGATAAGAATTATGTACTTCTCAAAAAAGAGTATAACAGTTAAATCCTAAGCCAATGAACTCTGGGTGAGTAAGCTTTAAAGTTCATGAAAACAATTGCTGTGTCAATATGTCCACCCTAACCACTATATAGGACACTATATAGTGGTTACGTGATTTTAAATGAGAGTTTGAAAGTCTAGTGGAAGAAAAAGAAGTGGACTTGAAAAGCACCTTGAAAAGTAGCGATCATCCATAGTCACTAGACGAGCAGATATATGAGTGGAATGCTTTGCAAGGAGATTTCTCCTCGCAAAGCTATGGGATTTGCTGTCAGTGTGGCCCAATAACGAAGATGGCTAGGGCACCGTGCGGGGAGGCGAAGTCACGTGACCAACGAGGAGCGAAAAGCAGTGATCATCTCTCTGAACGGTAAGTTAACTGAGATCACTATAAAGTCCACTATATAGTCTCCGCTCTGTATAGTGATCGAGAGATTTAGGGGTTAGGGCGGACGTTCGGACACAGCCAATGAAACCCTGAAGTAAAATATCAGGAAAATCACAATCTCCATATTGGTGGAAAAAGAAGAAAAAAAGAAATTTTTGGCAAAATCATTTAGCCCTAGTCAGCAGTAAAACCTAAGTTTACAAATAAACACTTATAGGCACCAACCCATCAAACTAATGGTCAATCACGATGGTGTAGGGCAGGTTAATTGTGCTTGTTTGCTGGCCGAAAGACATTGGCAGATGTCTTGTTTCTGACAATGTTGATACATTTTCATCACTGTTGTCATGACACATATTTCCTGATCCACTTCAAATCCTTTAATAGAGTAGTTTCTCATTGTTGATTACTAGGAACTGAGTTGATTTTTTTAAACAACCAATCACGGCTGTTTAAAGACCGCCTCACACTTAGTAATTGGTTAACTACACCTTCCTGATAAGATAAAAGCTTCTTTCCCCTCCTTGCTCTTAAGCTAAATGTCTTTTGCAGTTTTTAGCCTAAATTAGAAGCCCTCTAAGAGGAGGGTTTGTTAATACAGGTCCAAATAATATCCATATATCTGAAAGGTAAGACTGTAAGACTTTATTCTAAAGATATCTAAGAATTTTGAACTTTTAAAAAAATTGTGTGATGTACATCTTTTATGTGCAATTAAGATACATCTATTTAAAATACAAAGCAAGAAAAAGTTTTGAGATAGGAGTGTGTGTTAAAGGAGTGAGTATAGGTATTGAAAAACAGTCTGCAATTGATTCTTGAAGGCAGAGAGAGAGAGAGAAAAAGCTCTTTGCTCTGATAAAATTTGGCAGCTTCTTCCACCAACAGGGAACCACAAATGAGAACAGCCTGTACTCAGACAGCTTCGTGTTTAGAGATGGCATTACCTGAGAGGAGCACACTGCCATCTCTTCAAATATTTAAATAATTCCCCGATTAAAACTTACTCTCTCCTTTTTGAATTTTGCAAAAAGAAAATTTAGTAACATTTGTTCAACATGGAAGATCACGCGCAGGGAATACAAAGTATGACCGAGAATCTGGTCTTACATCTTGTCTAAATTAACGTATTAAAAATAAAGCACTGTAATTCTGGATTTTAGTGAACATGCATCAGCAAATAAAGTTTATTTCCTTGGCAAGTGAGAAGTGCATTAAAAGCATATTAATACTAACACAGGGGTTACATGGACTGGAAGACGATCAGCTTATTATTGACCAAAGGTTTCTTTGCTATGGAGCAAAGGTTGCTTTGCTCTATAACAAAGAAACTGAAGAAAGGTGAATATTTTGTTACACAATTGCTCAGTTCTCTGCTTCTCTTCCTAGTCCAGCAGCACTTGACAAAGGCATTATGGGTGAAAATATTGCTATTTCCTAACCTTTTGCTTTAAGATCAGGCAGCGGGTCGAGGAGTGAGTGCTCTGCCATTAACTCCTTGTCAATAGAGTCCTGGAAACATATGGGGCTGGTATATGTACGGGACACTGTCAGATCAGGCTGCATGGAGGAATTAATGAGCAGGGGGTTTGCTGAAAAGGACAAAACAGACAGAAAGAAAATTATCGACAGCAGCTAAATCCCTGTAGCTGACACTTTAGACAATTCTTTTGCTATTGCTAACAGGAAAAACCTGAAAAAGCCTCTAAAAAGAAACAAAAAAGCATTTTTTTCCCCCCATTTTGTGGATATGACTATTCTTTCCTCACCATGGAAACAAAGATAGCATATATTTAAAAATATAATGTCTTGCTTAGCTGTGGCAAACAAGAGCAGCAGGGGGTGTTATCTGATAATCAACTTTCAAAATAGGTGCATAAACATACATATTCCCGTTTAAATTGTAAAAATATTAGGGGATAAAGGAAATGATACCACCACAGAAAAATGCACTGACTTCCTCCAGACAGTTACTGTATATGGGGCTCTGCAAAGGGACACTTCGCCATGTTTACATTTTTAGACATTTCTGAGGGATTTCATGTGAAAGATCAACTCAAGGTAGTGCATATCTAAAATGAAACAAGAAAGGTTTTTTAATATGCTTTTCAAATATGAGGAATAGATTTACATTTGAAATGTCTGTTGTTCATCATGATTCCTAACTTCCAAAGAGAACCACTGTCATACAGTGGAAGCATCTTACTGTAGCTGCACATAGCTCTCCCAGGCAGAACAGAAAATGTGAGTTTAACTTATATTTATAAAAATTAAATATGTACATATTGAATACTTCACCTATGACATCACAACAAAAGTGGTACACATGGATAGTCCATGAGTTGTATATTATTTGCATTAGTTAAGGTGTGTAGCACAGAGGGTGAAGACGCTGTGCTGCAGCATCTCTTCCAGCAGTAGTTTCCTTTGACAAAGAGAATTTTTTTTATTATTATTTACTTTTAATTTAGTCTCAACAGAGCTAAGAATCTTTGTCCACTCAAAACTAATGCACTGTTTTCTCTAAACATTGCAGTTATGTACTTTGATGTGTCTCATTTAATCAACAGAGAATTTGAACAAACAATTGCCGTTGAAAACTTAAAAATATAGTGGAGGGCGTTCTTTTTCTGGGTGGATGAATTGCCAATCATTCTGGTGATATGTTTACATAAGGCAGCCCTATGTGTTAGTTCTCATTTTCACTTACCGTTGGTGAGTCTGACAGAGTGGAAAAATTACAAATCTTCTTTTGGAAAGTAAACTTGTACTGTATGAGTGATGCAAACAGCAACTTATAAAAAGAGCGTGCAAGAGGAGAAATGGGCTGGTCCATGCTCTCGCACCTATTTAATAGGCGTTCCCTCTTGGGAGCGGGTACAGGGTTGTGCATGTGCATTTTTTTTAAAGTGTAGAGGGCAGGTCTTTTAAAAAATGTGCAAAAATCTTCCTCTATACCTTTAAAAAACTATTGGATGAGAAAAAATTTTCAAGCAATGTTTTTGCATGGTATACAACTACATATCGCCATCGTGTTTAAATAAATAGGTCCGGGACCTATAAAGTCAACAGGGTTGATAGAAGTTGGTAAAGACGTCATTGTTTGAGTCTGCATTTTTTATTATTATTTTTTTTTATTTTATTTATTTATTTTCTTATTTTATTCCTTCTTGCTTTGATTCTGTTTTATTTTTCTATATTTTAATCATGTAAAGCACTTTGCATTGTCTTTGTACTGAATTGTGCTATACAAATAAATTTGCCTTGCCTTGCCTTACACTGTTCTAAAAGCACAGGGCAGATAACCTTTGCTGGTTGATCTACTTCCTGTAGGGTAAGATGGTTTGTTTTGCTTCTTTTTTTGTTATTTCATATTTGTATTATACACAAAATAAAAAGCACATTTTCTCCTGTAAGAGATTAAAGGATTGACATAACCTTACAAAATCACTTTACTTTAACAGTATATAATTGACTAATATAGGAGGTGAGCACATGCAGAAAATTTTGCAGGTTCTAACACAGGAAGCAGAGACCAAGATTAGAGCCTTTGCTTCCACCTGCTGTGCTATCAAAACAAACTTTATTAAGCCTAGCTGAGGGCTTCTGCCTAGCAAAAAAAAAAAGAAAAAGAAAGAAATGTGTCAATCTGTATGGTGAAACACAAAGCGCAGTGGGACCAGCTTAACTCAGCAAAAAGAATTGGAAAACGCTTATATATCGCATTTCTAATTCTTTGCCGATGAATTATTGATTAAGATATTGTTAAACATGGGATAATAAATTTGAATAAAGAACTGTGGTCTAAAGATAAGCCCTTTATTTACCATGTCGATTAATATACCCGGTGGAAGGAGAACAAATATCTAAGTAATAATAGATAAGAGTGAAATTACATAGATATCTTCATGTATTTTACCATTTGTTTTCGAGAAGGTTTTATTGGTTAGGCTTGGCTGCTGTTTCCTGTAAGATTCTAACGCCCTGCATGTTTTATAGATAAAGTTTTAGGCTCGTAATTTGAACTCAAACTGCTCACACATTAACAACCTCCAGAGGCCTGTAGTAAACAAACTGAAAAATTAAAAATTGTCATTCTCATTCTGGCTCCTAAAGCATTTTAATAATTGATGCATATTAGTTATGTCATAACACCAGAAATAAATGCATAATTCATGATGCTACATGAGTGCATACACTGTATGGATTGCCTGGTCGTTGATTTCTTTCAAATACATTAGCATCAATATTTGAGCACTTTTATGGCTTTAGAATTAAAACAAATAACAAAGTTAAAAGGAGAAAGTCCTTTATCCTTTGCAAAAGTAATTTCTGCTCCACGGTTAACCTTTGAGAAAGTAAAAAGCTAGCGCTGCTGTGTGGTGTCTGGGTTTTGTGTTTATTTGGCGACAAAGCCACTCTAAAAGAGTGACATTTTTCTCTCTTAACTTTTGTGTTCTTTTGATATTTAAAAGAAAGTGGCTTTTCTTATAGTGTCTATGCAGCCAAACACTGAATGACATTCAGAATGCAGTAGTCTCAAACTAAATTGTAGGGTAGAAATGGATTTAATTGCAGGGGTTGCTGTTTATACTACCTTACCTTTAAATCTAAAACAAGCTAAAAATAGATAGATGCATGAGTTTATTCTTAGGGGATCTCATACTAAAATTTTGTTAAGGCTTGTCTGTGACTGAGATAATCAAGCAAACATTTTTACCATTCACAGCCTTTTTTTTCCCTTTTTTCCTGTAGCTTTTCTTCTCTTTTGATTTCCATACAGTCGTGTACCAGTTAGAACACAAACTGCATTTGCCTTTGATTCAATCCCTACATGTTTAAGCAGAGAGCTGTCAAAAATTATTTGCAGCCTTTTTAAATTTCAGCTGTTTTTGTAGTTTTGTCATGCATGTGTAAATGTATGAGTACTTCAAACAATACTTAACATCAGGCAAAGATAGTCTGAGTAAATATGGAAAGAATTTACAAATGATGGCTTCTTTTATACAGGCTAGGAAGTTATTCAAAACAAACTGGTCATACTGAAGAAGTAAATCCATTTTAAATAAAAAAGTAGCTGGTGTTTCATTTTCGGTACCAAAAATTGACATCAAGTCTTTAAATTTAATGCTGTGGAATTTTGGCCCACTCTGTTTTAAATCAGGCACAGCAGAGAGTTATCGCTAAAACATGATATAACTCATGAATTTATTTTTTCCTATGGTTGAGTTAGCGATTAAACAGGAGATTTGAAAGTGGTTTTGACTTATAATTTGACTAAATGGTCCTTCAGATCATTTTAAAGGGATTATCCCTCCTGGGAGTACTTCCATGTTTTCTATATATATGTATGAAAAAGATGTTTGTGGATAAATAATTTCACATCCAAGTCAAGTCTTTGTTTAAGGTGTTGAGTCTCAACATTTGTTTAAAGCTTAATTTAATGTATATTAGCCTTTTTAAACTAGTACCTAACACATCCTGTGTGTTGTTCCTAGGAAGGAAGCTTGAATTAGCAGGTTAGATGTAAACCTGATAGAAAATGACAGTGACAGTGGAAGTCTGGGAGGTGCATGTTGAGCAACTGACCTATCCGTGTGTGACTGGCTCACCTTGACGAGACGTCTTGAAGCTGAAAGACTGAAAGCCCCCAGTGAGGGCAGAGGAGTCGATGACATCCACCCCATAGTCACTTTGGCTCCGCCGATACAGAGTGACGGCGATGATCAGCAGCACCACGGTCACCACCCCTGCAGCCAAGCCTGAGTACAGGGCTACGTCACTGGTTCTTTCCACTCCTTGGAGGATTGGAAGCATAATGTTAGTCCCTCTGTCACAGCATGACCAAGATGTTTAATTAGGTAAGAAGGAACAGCTTATTTCCTGAGAATCTAAGAATCAGAGCTGCTGAAGAATATTGAGCTAGTGGAAGTTGGTTGGAGGAAAATCTACCCCAGTTTCAAAGTACATGAGGGCCTTTTTGTTTTCCATTCATTGCTCTGCCTCCCGGTACACAATTGTATTGTTCCTTTCTGCAGAGTTAAGACTACTAATGAGGAACCTCAGAAGAAAAGTGATTATAATCAACCCAACACCTGACTGTCATTTCAAACACTGCTTGGCTCTGGTGTTGGAGGCTCTCTGCTTTCCACTGGGATAATGTGACAAAACCAATTCATTAAATTAGCTCATCGGCGACGATTAGGCTCTATCTGCTCCCACCAGTATTGCGGCGTCCAACTCCGCAAAGAAAAAGAATGAGAGGAAAACAGAAGCTGCTAGTTTGTTCTTGAAAGATAATGAGATCTGTGCTAAAAACAGGACATGCTGAAAAATCCACTAAGCAGCCTGAAGCTCAAAGGGAAGAAAATTGACAAAATATGCAAAGCGGTATTAGCAGCTGTAGTGGCAGGTTAATTGAGGGCTCAGGAAAGTTATGGAGTCCTGAATGCATTTTTCTTACCATGGGTGACAAATGGAAATACTGATCGTTGTTAAAGGACGAGTAAGGAGAACATGAGCTTCTGGCTTCGTATGGATCAAAATGACATTGCAGCAAATTTCTCATTTCCCTAAACAGCAATTAGGCATGAAGCAACGACGTTCCAGTGGATATCCACACACAGGTGTGACCCGTGTGATTCTACATCAGATGAAGTTAAATTAAGAGATATATTAGAGGGGAACTACATATTGATTCGACAAGCTTTGAACAGCAACCTGCTTAATTCTCTGCTGCTTTGTGATAAAGAAGCAGCATGTAGGGGCTCCACAACAGAATGTCAATGGCTCATCTCAGTTTACAAAGCAAAGGTTCTACTTTCAGGTACTTTTCTGATTAGCATATTTTAAATACATTTTCTTCAACTTAAAACCTAAGGTAGGGCTTGGAATCTGCTTATGTTCATCCCACCACCCTAATTGTTTGATTTTTGTCTTTTTAAGATCAACTAAGGAGGCTGAGGCTGCACAGTACTACAAGAAATTCATTCAGTATTTTAATTTTTATTCTTTTTAGATATAACCTGTATTTCTTGTATTTGCATCAATATATGGTTAATAGATCTTCCTACTGTTTCTTTATCTTGATATATAACCAGATGTGCATTCACTTAGCCAGTAGAACAAGTTAGCTAGTTATCTGGGGTTCCATATCAAAATAATCTAAACTAAACTAACATTATAAAGAAACATTATGTTTATTTGACATAAGCTGTTCAAGTTTTTTCTTTTTTTTTCCACCTTTATATCAACACTAAGTATCATAAGGGGTAAGTAGCTCTTGGTTGACATAATAATCAACTCTTCTCTATTTTTATTTCCAATTATGGTCATTCTTCTCAAATAAGAGAACACTTTTAAATAAGGATACCTTGATATGACAATCTGGGCTGATTTCATTACCTTATATTGCTATCTTTTATATGGCTGATAACCAATATTCCCCAATATTAAAGAACATATGATTCCCTACCACTTTGATACCATTACAGTAAAATCCAAAAACGGTGCTGAAATTGCTTCTCTGCTTTAGTTAGTCAGCAATGATCCTTGGCTGCAACAAACCCCTATAGATCCACGCTACCTCCCCTTCATCTCTCAAGTGAGAAAATCAATCAGTCATCTGTTGTCATCAACCAACTCCTTCCTAATCAGACTGTTTTCTCCCCTCAGACCAACCAGAAACTTCCACTGACTTCCTGCAATTCTCTGCCTCCAGTTTCCTGTTGCTTTTGTAAATAAAATGTTAAAATCCACTGGTTCTCCGCATGCATGTGGGTCAAAAAACTACAAACCAACATGACAGACTGTAATAAGGGCTGTGAAATTAGTTTTTCACATTTTTTCTATCTAATAACTCTTTTGAACAGTGATGTCAGATATCAAATTTGAAAAAGCTAATTACAGGACCTTGCTGTGGTTACTGGATATCAACCAAAGTGATGAAAAATTAAAAACATTGTTAAATGGGTTCACAAGCTCAGCTTCTACCCCTTCAACTTAACAACTTAAAGAAAAGGCAAGAAATCCATCCGCTTCATCCTTTCACTATAGAGCAGAAACAACTAGGACATCCTACCCCTCTGAAATGTAGGATTAAGGGCTACTAAAGATGACAACAGAGGAAATTGGATTAAGTCTTATTACTGATTACATATAACCCCAAAAGCCTTATTTAGCCATCTGAAAAGGCAGAGCTGGATCAAGAAGCAGTATAGCAGAGACCCAAGTTTGAGTCTGTCGAATTACATTCTTTATTAGCAGATTGCTGCTTAAAAGAATTGTTAAAAAAAACGAAAACCATTATGAGGTTTTGCATTTGGAGCAAACATAATCTACAACAGAGTAAAAATATCTCCATCTTAGTATGTAGCAGAGATATTTTTAACAAACTTGTGGTTTCAAAGCACACATCATATATTGCCTGCAGATACCTTAAGAAAATAGACAAAGGACAACTGAAACTGCACAAAAAAGTGGAAATTGAAGTATAAAAAATGAAGTTAAAGGTATACAGTTCTTGAAAATGAACTTTTAAGCAACTACTATTTCCTTTTCAAGCTACAGTTTGTTTATACAGTAGCTTCCTACATACAAATTTGGTTGTAACATTAAATAAAAGAAGTAAAATAATGAAAAAATAAGTATGTTCCTCTGAAGGATGAACTCCAAGAAGGGATGATGATGAAAGATCTGTCAGCCTCATGGTTTTCATTTGTTAAAAATAAACTGAAATCAATCAGCAATGTATTTGCACTCCATGCAGTCTGTATCATATTGGATCTTTCACACATATAAATGGGTAATGTTATCCTCCATTAGTGTGTGTATGCACATAAACACATTGCTTTTATCTTTGAATCAATCAGTTCCAGAGATGCACTTATTCCATTCTCATATTGATTTAGAAACTCCTGAGTTTTAGAGAATAGAATATCTTGTCAGTTGAAGACCTTGAGGTTCTCTGTTAATTACATTACGATTAAAAGAGTCTTTGATCACGTTGCATTTGTTGGGCTGGTTGCCTGAAAAGCTGCAACCTGACACCATTGGTTTGCAAAATATTGTCATCTGCTTTGTTTGATGGGCAGGATAAGACTGATATCCATAATGCAAGTTGCTTTGTGAATCTACTACAGAACAAATATAGAGAAGTAAACATTTATATTACACAGTGAAGATTGCACTGCTTCTTTATAAATAAAGTGTACATTTATAGATCTGTTGTGGATTTAACAAAAACAGACTCAGTTGTGATGGAAACTCGTGTTCAAACCGCTTTCTGTAAATTCACTCTTAACTTCCTCTGCTCTTAAAACAGCCCAAAAGTTGGCCAATCGATATTTATAATATATACAGTAGCAGCTATTCAAAACGGCCCTTCCCAATCAAATGCCAGCTGAATGGCAGCCCACTTCCCTGCAACTCACAGCAAAATCCCCTCCTTTCCAGCCACTGGAGTGATCCCCTTTTGCATATTTTGTTACTCTGACTCCTCCCTTTCACTTAATTACAGGGTCTGACCAAGAGATGATGCTTCTCTTTAGATCTTAATGAACACAAATGATGACAGAATGTTTTTGTTAAAGGGTTGATGTTTAAATAGGAATTGTAGAGGACTGGCCAAGGTCCAGCCAAGGGGCCATTAAGGGAAGAAAGGAAAATTTGAAAGGCTACTACTGTACTTTGTGTTAGACATGCATCAGACATGACAGACATGAAAGAAGGTAAAAACCAAAATACATAATTTGTTTATAGCATTGTAAATAAATTCAGACAATAATAAGTTAATATTGAGACAGATAAAACACCCATAAAACACACAATTTTTTTCATCAGTGGAGTTAAAGTAAAAAGCAAAAACATGTTTTGGACGTTCAGATAAAAATGGGAACAACTCACCCTGTGGCTTTGCATCATGAAGCAACTTTCGATCTGCAGGTAGACAAAGAAATCTTAAGAGTCTGTAATTGTTTTAAAATTGCTGGTTCATACAGTCACGACTTGTACATGCATCCCTGCCTAAACACAAGGCACTTGATGTATGCAGAGTCAAGAGGATGAATAATGAAGATGGATGAAGGTGTTGGTAATGAGCATGATTGTAATGATGATCATGATCTCGCCTGCTCTGCCAAAAATGATAAACATTAAATGTATAATGACACAGTCTTTAAGCGTCATGCTAGAGACAGTAATGATCCTGAACTGTCTTTTATTACTTTTTAAACAGATGATGTTACCCACTCTGTGTACAGAGGCCGCCTGTGCAGTTTTCCGCAGCCAAAGGGAACCCATCACAGAGCCGTCCTCCATGTTTGGGTTCAGGAGCCGTGCACTCTCTGCTGCGGTGCCTATCGCAGTCTGAGCTACACACAGACCACTCGCTCCACTCCCCCCACCCTCCATCGACTAAGATAAAACACAAAGAGAAAAAAAAAGAAGTTTGCATTAACATAAAGAACTGACAAAGACAACGAAACACAAATACAACACACACACATAACGTAAACACCAATAAAGCTGTTTTTCCCACATGAGCACGGCTTCTTCTCCACGTTGATTCATTTCAAGTGTTTTGAATCTTTAAGGGAAACACTTTTAAATTACCACCGCACTACTTACAACAGCTTCTTCCACAGTCTGTCAAAATACTTTTTCAGGCTTCTCGACTTGGAGCACAGAGACCCTGTTTGTGCCATATCTAATCAAATCTTCTTTCCGCCTCCAAATGTTCTTTAAGCTCCCTTCCTCCTGCTGATCTCATGAACCATTTTATGTCTCAAGACATAAGAAAGAATCCCTCCCAAGAGTGAGAGAGCTGCATTCTCTGCCAGCTAGTTTTATAGAATGTGATAGATGTTTTCTTCAAACTTTACAGTGGTTGAAATCGTACATTTGGGTTTTATTAAAAAACCCTTCAGCAAAGCCGATCAAACATTAGTTGTGAAAACTAGATGATGTCTTGCCAGTTTTCTCAAATAAGGTTGCATTGGGTTGTTTTCCTATTCTTGTGGCTATTCTCTCTATATTTTCCAGATTTGTTTGCTTTAACAGTCGTTCTGATTTTATCACAAGCCGATGCCACTCATTAAGTCAAGGCAGTTAAAGTAAAGTGAGAGAACCTTCCAAAGATAAACTGCCATAATATGCTGAAAGAGAACACTTTTTTCGTTTACTTCCAGAACTCAAAATATCCTGACTTTATAGACGTGCTGAAATTGTGAACTGTTGGACAGCCAAACCGTGGCAGTAAGGCAATAGATCTAATAATATTATTTCTATCATCTTTTTTTTTAACCATATGTCTATGTGTTTGGTAAAAAGCAAAGGTTCACAGCCAATCATGTTTGGACTTTCATATTACATATTAGACAGTATTAAGTCTCAGCATGCCCTAGGTGTAAACAGATTTTCCTTGTTATGGCATGGGAAAAAACACAAACACTGTTTTTATGACACGTGTAAAAACATTGTGAAATGAAACTCCTCAGTTTTATTGCTTTAACAAAATAAGCTTTTGTTGTTCCGCACATAAAAAACTACTAAGATGCGCCCTACTTAAAGATAGCCCTAATCTAGAGGTAATTATAAAAGAGCCTTTTTGGAATGCATATTCTAATCAATTGACTATAATTAGGACATCTGAACTTAATAGTTGCTTGAGGCTCTTTTGGGTCAAATTATTAAATCAATGCACCATGACATGGAACTATTCAACCAGTTTAAAGGTGTTAGGGAAGTCCATGTGGCTTTCTTATCACCATCCTCCCCTTAATTTTAAGTAAAGTTAATTTGTTCAAAGCCTTTCATTGATGAACATTTTATAATGGAATATACTAAAGAAAGTAACAATGAAAATAGACAACAAACCATAAAACACACAATAAAAAACTCATCTAAATGATTTTCGGGTTACAGTATTCCACTGCCTTGATGCTGTGGAATAAAAGGCTGTACCTCCCCATGGTTCAACCAATGCTGCATGGACGAAGTTTCAGAGCCTTGGAATGAAGACAAAAATGGCAACTTATTAAGAGACGTATCGTTAATCAGTAATCTGAGGCCTGGCTGTGTAGCATCCTGTATGCTAAAGTGAGAAGATTTTGAATGAGTCTTAATTTCTAAAGGTAGCCAGCATAAAGCATATCAAATGGGAGTTACGGAGCTTGTATGCTGGAAGGTGTAAGCAGATGGTTGGAGGTGCAAAGAGATGATTTATCCTAATCAGTAAACAACGCAATGCAATAATCTAAATGGCACAAATGCATTGATAATTCTTTCAAGATCTGTTGAAGAGACCTTATGTCATAGATACTTGTGAGATATTCCTTAAATGTTCCCCAAATTTAAGAAACAGGAACAAGGCAGAGATTTAACATGTTAGGCAAAGCCTAGAGGAGAGAATATTACACCAAGACTGTGCAAGCTGGACGTATTAGTCAAAGGGAAAAAATAGAGTCTGGCATTTTTTTGTACATAGTTCAGAGGAAGGTCCAACTCTGGTCCTAGTATTGGTCCTTGAAAGTTAATCCTTTAATCTTACACTCACTGGCCACTATATCAGGTTCACCTTTCTAGCACCGCATTGGACTCCTTTTTGCCTTCAGAATGCCTTCATGGCAGATATTAAACAAGGTACTGAACAATTCTTAGAGAGTTTGGTGTATATTGACATGACACAGATGAGCATCCAGGGAATGGACATAGAGATAGCGGACTCTTATAAGTGCCTGGGTGTTCACCTGAAAAATAAACTGCACTGGACTCACAATTATAACATTCTCCACAAGAAGGGTCAGAGCAGACTCTTCCTGCTGAGGAAACAGAGATCTTTTGGAGTGCAGGGGGCACTCCTAAAGACCTTCTATGACTGTGTGGCATCAGTTGTCTTCTATGGAGCTGTCTGTTGGAGCAGTGCCTTATCTGTAGCTGTGAAAGTGGCTGGACTAGCTCAACAGGAAGGCCAGCTCTGTGGTTGGATGCCCTCTGGACTCAGTGCAGGAGTTGGGAAACAAAAGGATCCTAACTAAACTAACATCTCTGTTGGATAATGTCTCCCATCCCATGCATGAACTGTTGCAGAACTGGAGAGCTCCTTCAGCGACAGACTGCTGCACCCTAAATGCATCAGAGAGTGTTATCACAGATCCTTCCTCCCAGCAGCTGTAAGACTTTATAACCACCGCTGTTCCCAACAACCTCAATAAGTTGTTACATTCATGCAGATTTTTGCAGTTTCTACCTTAATCAGTTAAATAACATGCTGCTGTGATTTAATTTATTTTTTTTTTGTTTGGACATCTCTGGTGTAGTTGTTATTTTTCCACATATCCATTACTGTAAAAATGTCCACAACTGTATATTGATTATCTATCTCCAGATGCACAGTATTTATATTGTAAAAACACTGTACAGTACAGTATTTTATTTGTTTATTTTCTCAACTCTGTCACTTATTTTGTTATTTTTATAAAATGTTTCTAAGGTCTAAATTCGTGTGTTGCTATAATCTTTTGCTGCTGTAAACAACGCAATTTCCCCAATTGTGGGACAATAAAGGTATTTTCTATTGTATTGAATTGTATTATATTGTATTGTATTGCATTGTATTGTATTCTATTGTATACTAGCATCAGGCAAATGCCTGACATTTGTCAACTGCACATCCATGATGAAAATCTCCTGTTCCAACACATACCAAAGGTGCTCAATTGAATTGAGATCTGGGGACTGTGGAGGCATTTGAGTGCAGAGGACTCATTGCATGCTCATGCTGACAGGATTTGCGCTTTATGACATGGTTTATTATCCTGCTGGAAGTAGCCATCGGAAGATGGGTACAATGTGGTCATAAAGGGGTGGAAATTAACAACGATCAACGAGCAGTTGTACCTAATAAAGTGGCCGGTACTGTAGATAGAGACTAGACTGCATTGGGGAGCCTGTTTAACTGATGAGGCCTAAAAGACATGCTGTATGCATGTGAATACCTACATGTGATAACCTACATGAAAGGGGTAGGGAAATAATAGTACCAGCTCAAGGGAGCACATGAAAAGCAATTAATATTGTACCCAGAAGTGACCCCCTGTGGAACCCAGCAGGTTTGAGACTATCTAAAAGGTGAACGCGTTCACTATAATTTAAAAAAGTCCTCCTCAGATACATCAGAAAACTGTTAAACAGGACCAGAGACAGCAGCAAAAGCTGTCAGCCTATTTACTAAAATGTTAAAATGTCAAAGTTTTCGCTAAGATCAAGTTAGATTATTATGGAGGAATTTGCTGGAACAGAAGCCATTAGAAGATTATTTGAAACCTTCAATATAGCTGTCTCAGTGGGGTGCTGCTTTTGAAAGCCAGATTGGAAAAGGTAAAAAACATAACAGAGACCTAAAATAAAAGGTAGATTTCAACTCAGTTAATTAGTACCTATAAAGCTGCCATTAAGATTTATTTTCAAGTGGAGTTAGCTCAAAACAGTAACTTTTTTAGTAACTATTTGAAAAAGTGTTTTAATTAACTCTTAAACAGAGCGTGCATGAGGAGAGACGGGCTTGTGCATGCTCTCGCACACGTTTAATGGACGTTCCTTCTCAGCAGCGGGTACGGGGTTGTGCATGTGCATTTTTCTTTTTTAAAGTGGAGAGGGAGGGTCTTTTAAAAAAAANGGAAACCCATTTCGGCCGCTTGTATCCGCGATCTCGTTCTTTCGGTCATGACCCAGAGTTCATGACCATAGATGAGGGTAGGAACGTAGATCGACCGGTAAATCGAGAGCTTCGTTTTTTGACTCAGCTCTCTCTTCACCACGACGGACCGGTACAGCGCCCGCTTCACGGCAGACGCTGCACCAATCCGCCTGTTGATCTACCGCTCCCTTCTTCCTTCATTCGTGAACAAGATCCCAAGATACTTAAACTCCTCCACTTGGGGCAGGACAACCCCCCTGACCCTGAGAAGGCACTCTACCCTTTTCCGGCTCAAGACCATGGCCCTGGATTTGGAGGCACTGATCCCCATCCTGGCCGCTTCACACTCGGCTGCGAAACGATCCAGCGAGAGCTGCAGATAACGACCTGATGAAGCCAATAGGACCACATCATCTGCAAAAAGCAGAGACGCAATCCTAAGGCCACCAAAACGGATCCCCTCAACACCTTGGCTGCGCCTAGAAATTCTGTCCATGAAGGTAATGAACAGAATCAGTGACAAAGGGCAGCCCTGGCGGAGTCCAACTCAGCAAGCAACATCACTACTTTTGGCACTAGTGTCTCAGATTTTCTTCTTTACTCCATAGAAATTCTATGGGGTTTAGGCCAGTGATGCTCAGTGGTACCATTGTTATTAACTCAGATATTGATTTAGGCGGTGTGATCAGGTAAAAAGCCAGACCGGAAAAAATAAATCTACATCTTCTATTCCCTTTTCCTCATCAGTCAGGTAAGATGTCCAGCATCTGTGTTTGGTGGCATGAAGCTGTATCTTAATATAGAATCTCTATTTTTTTATGCACTTTGCTTCAAACAGGAATGTACTCCCTGTTTCTAATGCATCTTTCTATCAAATGTTTTCCTTCCACTCAACCTTAGTTCATGCTTTAAACCAGCTTATCAGGCAGTGACTCGTTATGCAGTGCTTCTGCCTGACTACCATCAGCTTAGCAATCTCTGACATGGCTGCATTCAACTCTGATTAAAAAAAAATCTTTTTGAGACATGTAACATCATTTTCTATTGAAAGCAACAAAATAAACACTTAAAATATATCAGCCTGCAATGAATTTATATAATACAATTGTTTGATATTTTCAATTAATGTACTGAAAGAAATTAAGTCATGAATGATTTAAGTAATTAAACTGGACCTAAAGGATATGATCCTGTGGAGCAGTTTAGATCCAATGAGGCAATTTAAGAGTACATCTTTCTGAGCCTTTAATTACCACAGCTATACATTCCAATATAAACAGGCAGTTCATAGTAATAGTTGATTCCCTTTTACCCGAAAGTCTCATAAGCTTTATATATTTAATATATATGATAATTAAAAGGTTTGGAGAATAAAGGAAAAGCATCATTCACTTATTCATTTAATATTGTCTTCTAAGACCTTTCATTTTAACTCCTAAAATGTAAGAAACTCTGATAGCTATTGGTTTATGTGAGATATTCTTCTGTCCACCTTTTTAAAAAACGTTCTGTTTGTGTTGACCACCTCACAGAAGTCAAGAAATGTCTTGTTTTTTCTGCTCTCAAGCAAAATACTTTGGCTTGACTCAGTTGTGCATGGGAATAAATAACTCCAGGCAAATGTCAAAGTTGAAAATAAAAAAAATGGTTGAAACTGAAGTTTTTTTAAAAGCAAACTAACAAGTTCTTTCATCTGACCAAAGCCTTCTGTTTTTGCCAGAACCCATAAGCCTAGTTTCTACACTGATACCAGTGAACATTTGATCTTCTGATTTCACCATGGGCTGCAGGCGTGGTTTCTATGGATTATTCTTGTTCCAGTGAGTCACACAGATAGTTGACCGCATAGGGATCTAGAGAGTTTTGAGATTTACAGTCTTTGGATTTTTTTGCTGTGTTGCCTGATCCACTTTGGAGGTTGCTCAGCAACAAAGTCTAGGTGTATTTTTTTTGTCGAGGTAGCAGCTGCATGATGGAAGAGTCCAAAAGATTCCAAGCAGAATATTGAGCTGCAGAAAAATGAACAGACTAACTCAGCTTCCCTACCAATTATTTTAATATTGTAGCTCATCTGGGATTTAATAAATTAAATTGCAGCTCTTTTCATGAATGATATTAGGAGCTCTTTCACATGTAGACCCTAAGAAGCATAATAGCTAACATAATACTCTTACCTGGACACACTGTGTTGCACGTGCTCTTCTGCACTGACATGCCCTCGCAGAAGGCACCGCCGTTTAGAGGAGCTGGATTTGTGCAGGTTCGTGACCGTTTCTGCACGCCCCGCCCACAGCGCACGCTACAGTCGGACCAGTCGCTCCATGAAGACCAGCCTCCATTCACTGAGGGAAGCAAAGATTAAAACAAAATCGCAGTTAACAAGACGTTTTCTATCTTATGTAAAAGTGCAATAAGAGGCTGAGTCATGGGTTTTCTAACACTACTCAGGATGTTTGACTAATCTGCTCATTTGCTGTCACAGGGAAGGAAGCGATACTATTGTTCCATTACTACACATCTGTCTAAGGCTATTGGCAAGAGTAAGCCCGTCAGAGCCCTTCATTAGCATTATGGAAATTAATAATTGATGATCTACATCAACCCTTGGTGAGAAAGAATCTGATATATTCCAGCTGCAGCTTAAGGTCCTTTACGAATAAATAAGAGTACAAGACGGAAGGTCAGTACAACAGGCATGAAGCCACTAATGAATGCTTTGCTTTAGTCAAAATTGTGTGATGCCAGTAGGACATTATAATTTTACTCTGTATAGGCCCATTAAATGCTGGAAAACATTGTTTGCTTGCCTGCAGCTATACAAAGCGTTTTGAACACAGTATTTATTGCAGGCACAAATAAGCTGTAGAGTGTCACTGACCCCACGGAAGCTGCTTTTCAATCATTAATAACAGGGCTCTTGTAAATATTGTGACTATGCCTGCTTGTTAAACACAACTGATCAGCCGCTGTAACCTGTTCTCAAGATTCAAGAGTGCAAAAGGATTTTTTTTAAGTGGTTTCTATTTAGTTTTTAGGGCAATTAGACAGAAGCATTTTGTATAGAAGATTTATACCTGATTTAGTTTGACTTTACATACATATCTTACCGTAGACTACAACCATAGATGTGGCACTACGTCTCTTGGCGACGATGTTGCTGGCAACACATGTGTAGTTCCCAGAGTCAGAGAGGCGGGCCTCTGAGATGATTAGATCATGGTCACCATTTTTACTAATCAAGCCATCATTACCAACATTCAGAGGCTCTTCGTTTTTAAGCCATTCCACCTGCAAACAAAAGAGCAAGCCACATTTCTCCTTTTAGCTGAAAAGAAACGCTTTAACATGAGAGGCAGCAGATCTTTTTTCAGTGCTACAACACCTCCAATATTAGCAACTTCTCCAAGAACTGATGAAACACTGCCACACCGGGACTTTCTAATGTGACCCTCCTTAAGAGGATTATAGTGAGATAAGGATGGCACATGCCTTCTGTTTTATCCTCCATTATGATGGAAAAAGAAGAGTTGCGTAAGTGTGCCATTTTCATTTATATTTTGAACCACGTTTCTCTCTATCCTGCCTCTCCATCAAGCTCCAGTCGCACCCACTGGCACTCATGATAGGATGTGTCAAAATCAAACAGATGGATCTTTATCTGCAATAGCGATAAAGCAACACTAACTATTAACTTTTCAGTACATCTCTACATTTATAAACAAAATTATTAGTACCTCTAACAATTTAAATAACATAGATAATAGATTTTTAAGAATTTGTACCGTTTTCTAATTTGATTTGAATTTCAAAAAATGTATTTTTTATCCATTCACAACTTTATGAGTCCATAGGGTATAAATACAAAATAAAGGCCCATTTCTTTCAGTCACGTGGATGAATGGTGATGCAGGTTGATCTTACCAAAGTGTTCACTGAGCTGGATGACAAATTGAAGGTTAAAATATCTTTAAAGCTCACTGTTAGAGAACGGCAGCAGAGAATAGCAACTTGGCATGACCTCTTACGCATAACAAGAATAAGATGCAATTCATTGCATATCTGTAATCAAACTGTTAGGCATTTCTTTTTTTTTTGTCTGTTGTCGGAAAAAAACCTCTGAACATTTTGCAAAAGAAACATAAAGGTACTCTGTCGAAGTCAACTGTGAGGGTTTTAGGTAGTTTAGAAATGTGTGCAGATGCTGTTTTTCTTACCTAATGCTTGTGTAACCAGGATAATTTCTTCCATTCAATTGAATTAATCCTAATTATATCGAGTATTAATTTTCCTTAAGCAGTTTATTTTTTGTTATTGAAATTCGAGTTGGTGAAATTATGTTTTCTTAAATATTTATTTTATTTTTTTTAAATTTATTCAGAAAGTCCTCTTTAATATAAAAAAAGGTATTTATTTGAGAATTGTTGGATCCAAAGATCCGCATTTAATGTCAGTTTATGATCTAGTCATGTGATATCATTATCACGTGACGTGTTGCGACGCTGCAACAGTGTCTGATAAGATAGACTAGCGGAATGTGCTGGATTGTCACTACCACAGATGTCAGTATGTGAAAATAATATTAATATATTACCAGCATTATTGTTTTTTCTGATGGTAAAAATTTAGTCACATGCACACAGACTCTAGCCCAATGTTTGCCGCAGAGATTGCAAACATTTTTCCAAGTCAGTTTGAAGCTGACTGTTAAACGTGCATAATATACATAGCAAACAAGCTGCACCCAAACTATGTTTGATAAAAAGCATTGGTAGATTATAATACAAGTTGGCATCCTCCTGTCACTACTCTACACGTTCCGTTGATTCTGATGATCAGCATATGTTCAATATATTCATGAAGGCAAAAATGCATAATCTTTCACCTGCTGTTTCGCATATTTTAGACACACAATTCTTGCGTCTGCTTTGTTAGTTAATCAGCATTGATTGGAAGGTTGGAATATTTTTAGACAAAATCCTTTAGGAGATCACCGCCAAATGTTGTCAATCTAGTAAAAGGAGGTTGGAGAAATTACTGGTAGCAACACTACCAAAAACTGTATGACCTGTGATTTTGTAACATATTAAAAATGTAGCCATCATCAAAAATGAAAATGTTTGCAGGGTGCCATTAAACATGGAAAGAAAGTGGGTTGGAACTTTAAGTTTCAAACTGCAAGCCTTTTTAGCTGTCAATAATGACGTTTATCTGTCAACTTTCAGAAGACATATCAGAGTTTAATGTCAATTAGGATACAGCTAACTTGATGCAGGTGAGAAGAATGGTTCAAGATATTAATTCATGATATAGGGATGTAAACAAATAACTGACTTATGATTAACTGTTTAATAATGGTTTAATAGATTCAAATTTGTTCCATCTGATTAATTGATGATATTACAAGGAATTTATTTCAGTGTGACAGTCATGTCACCATCCAGTACAGGGTGCTGCTATTCATTCCTAAGTTGTCATGATCTCTGCACTGATGGCTGCCCAATGCTCACTCCATTCACCTGTCTAACTCTGCCCGGTTGTTCATTACTGCTCATCTAATACACCTGCTGCTGCTTCTATTTATACGTCTCAGTAGCAGCCAGTGTGGTCAGATTACTGCTGCTCATGCTTTTGTTTTAGTGCTCATTCTTGGGGGCCAGTGGAGACAGGGGTTTAAGCCTTTCATAGTGTTTCTGATTTCCTGATCCTGATCTGCCTATTTTCAAATGAGCATTCCATGTTCCTGTCTTGGCTCAGTGGAGAGAGCGTGTTTTTGCATTTCGTAGTGATCCTGATTTCCTGACCTGTTCTGCCTCACGGTCACTGAGCCTGCATGTTCCCGCCTGAACGTTCTGCCTGTACTGTCTCCAGACTCCTGGACCTCTGATTCTTCTTGTTCTGATCTGTTTCCCTGACCTAGCTTGGACTCCTGCATGTTCTCTGGGGCTGCAGCATCTAGGACACTCAGACCGACGCTCGCCGCATCTCATTGGCAGCCCACTGGCTGGATCCTACCACGTTTTATGGAGATGGACTGAACTATTAAACCAGGTTAGTGACTTAAATGGATAATCATCCTTCATCAGATTATCATGGTCACTAATCTGTGTTTTTCTTCAATTAGAGCTTCCAGTCATAGATGTCCTAGCGGCAGCCACTGCTATCCACAGCCCTATCTTTATTTTGAATAAATGCTTTGAATTATCCCACTGTCTGTCTCGCCTTAAATACTGGGTCCTTCTGTCCTGCCTCATGATACATTTGGGACCTAACTGGTATTTGCAAGAGATCTTATTCCAGAGCAGAGGCATGCTAGAGCAGAAACATGAATTAATCGAGAGTTACATGCTTCAAGTTTGATTACACTAAAGATTAGCTGCAACAAACTTGCCGTACAATTAGTTGAAATTAAGTGGCAAACAGTCTGACAGCATGTGAGAGCAACATACCAAGTCTTTTAATGATAGTTTTATTTTTTTGGAGTTATTAATAAAACTTCACATGTTTTATTAATCTATTATTCAGTAAAACAATTGCTTTACTGTGGGGTTAATTAAAAAAATAAATCTAATGTCCAAAAAAACATTTTTTATTTATTCAGTATTCAATACAGCTGGCACAATGCATTGTTGAAATAATGTAATACTTTATCTTATTGTAAACAAATATTTAGTTATGGACAGATCCTCTTGATAAAAGAGAAATCTCGTTAGTTGATTGATAAGATAAATCAACTTAATTCCCTATTCTATAACTCTATGATTCTTCTAAAGGTTTGTTAAAGGGCTAATTTTGAAATATAAAGCTAATTTTACAGTACTATAACAAACATCATGGGAAATGTTTTAATAGAATAAAATATAAGAAAGAATGCAATAGTATCCAATTCTCAAAGAGAATATCACATACTGCTACAGAACGGGAAAAAAAGCGGTATAGGCATGTTTACCACTTTGTTGCATCACTTCTGTAAGTTTTAAGAAGTGAGAAGACTCGCTGCCTGCCGTGTTAAAAGCAAAATGTTTGTCCATTCAAGTTTGTTTTGAGACTTGAGCTCCCCGGCCTTTGAGGGCCTCCTTTGTGAAAACTTTGTTGAATGATGCACCAAATCTTTTCAGCTCATGACAAGTATAGACTGCAAAGACCGGCTTTATCAGCTAAAATGAGAAGGGAGCTGTGCAGTTGCTCGGTATGCAGATTTTGCTTTGACATGGTTTTGGAGAAATAAACATTCTTCTGCCTGAAAAAATAGTGGTTTTGACAGCAGCATATGTAGCAGTGTATGTCATTCAGCATTAATTGTGCCTAAAAGATAGACATCCGCCCTGTATGCACTGTCGCACCCCAGTCAATCAAATATGTGCTAAAAGATGACCCAGGATATTGCTCGTTTGTTAAAGCTTCCATATCTTATATCCAAGATTCAACATTTTACAGTATACTTTCCCTCAGTCTTCTTAAAAAATACATTTTTTTCTGGATATGTTTTTTTTTCTTTTGTATCTTTGCATGATACATTTTTATCTTGTATTTCTGCATCTTAAGTTCCACTGTGTTTTACTAATAAGTAGTTTTCGGAGTGTTTTCCAGACCGACAATTATTTTCACCACAGGATGTCTGTATGGCTGAATACTTGAAAATTGCAGCCATTCACTGCTGATTTTATCTCTTTTTTCCCCCTTGCCAATATGACCAAATCCCAAAAGTTGTTTTAGATTTACTATGAAAAATATTCCTAAAATTTTGAGTAATTATAGTTTTTGACAGCATGGTAACCTCCTTCTTGTTTTCACTTTTGAAGGACTAATTGGAATGTGCTTTCAGCTCCAAATCATGGTGACTTGTTGATGATTAATGTTCCACCGGGTGTTTTACACAAATTTTCTATAATTTTGTTGTCACTTTTCCAGTTCTTTTCCACAATGTGCCAGTGGCATCAAATCCAAAATGACCCCAAGTAAAATAATTCTGCTTTTTATCCACTTATCTACTTTTAAACCAGTCTTACTACGGTGGTTCACACTATTTATCAAACTGGCAAATGTCCAACTTAAATATTTAGGCAGTAAAAAAGTTCTAGTTTATTTTTCCCTTTAAATAAAATCTAAAAAAAATGTTCATACTCCTCATACAGTCAGGGACACTTGACAATTATTTGATATACTGTATATGCATTGTCATGATTATGCCCTTTGTGGACTTCTGTTTAACTTTCTTTTTAAGTTCTCAGTTACACTTTGATTTGTGTTATTCTGTGTTTTCTTGATCATTGGTTTGTTTCCCATTTTGT